ATATAAAAGATTCATATAAGTATATATAAATTTATTTTATTTAATAATTTATGTTATACATTAAATTTTAATAATTAAATTATTAAATTTAAAATTCTTAATATATATATTATATTTTTTTATTAAATATTGTAATATTGCAAATTCATATTCTTCGACAGTCGAGACTCAAGTGGCTCATGTTGTCACTCGGCACCCTGGATGACTAAATGGACCTAGGGAGCTTCTGGACACTTTCAAAGGCAAAATGAACTTAGATTAAAGGACTAATCATTATTAACCCTAATTTATGGTCTATTAGGATAAGGCCTATCAATATTAGTATAAATAAGGTAAATTTACATTCAATGTATTCCAAAACTACATAAAAGAAAAGTAACTCATAGAAATTTCCCAAAAAAAAATGATACAAATAACATTGAAGTGAGAATTCCTTTATTCCTATTATAAGTGAGGAACGTAGTCCTGAATTCAGTGTTCCTTTTGATTCCTGCGGCGCATTCCAATGGACAAGCGCCAAGCATCAAGGAGTGGATCAGGGATGAAGTTTGCTAAACACCACTGAATTGAGTGAGCCCAATAAGGTGTGCACCTTGGTTTTAGCCCAATTTCACGAATTGCAGCTCTTGCATAGGCCTCAGCTGTTGGTACAAACAGAGAAGCTCTCTCAATAGATGCCACCCCTGATGCCATATTCGTTGCAACGTACAGTGGTACCTTCATTCATCATCACTATTCAATATCAGCCATACTAGTGACTAGTGACTAGTGTACCCAAATATCAAGATTATACCAATTAAATCAGAATACAGGACTCATAAGCACATGCATAATTTTAATGATAATCTTTATAACAACAAATTATTAATGTGTAAAGATAAAAACATTGTAATTGTAACTACCTGACATTGCACATGTATCCCATATTGTCCATACTCCACGTATAGAGATCTTGATAACTGGTCCACGTAACTGCATGTTTCCATCCTTGTTTTCACATTTTAAAGAGACAGATAGAGGGCATGCGGTATTATAATAACTACTTTAAAATGATTCTTATAAAAATTCATAATATTCAATCCTATGTCAATCCATATTTATATGAACGTAATTGTTTCCACATTATGTATTTTTTTCAATAAAATTATTTTAATAAATATAAAGAGAATTGAATTTATATACACCGTTTACATTAGAAATCAATCTTAAATATCTTACTAATTAATTTCTTTTATCTATTCTTACTAATTAATATGATGTGACAATAATAATTAAGATGATTTTTTTTATTGAATACTTATATAAAAAAGTTCATATCACATGGTAGTAATTTTTTAGGGCACATATCATATAAATTAAACTCTTGAAATTATATATTTTTTTTAAAAGAGATCGGAATTCATCGTATAAATACCAACCAAACACGGGGAAAATCGTTTAACAACCGAGACTCAAGAAAGTAACTAAAACATTTTAAAAGTATTCTTTCATTCAACTAAATATTTATTTTGATATCAACTTAACAACTATATTTTAATCATAAAAAAATCATATGATTCCAATATCTTTAAATATATGTATCCATACTGACAGATCAAAGGAATAGTAAAACTTGTAACTGCCTTTTCATTTCTATTTTTATAAGACTTCTTTTTTACCACATATGAATATATGAATTATTTTTATTTTTCCTCCACTCGTTTTTACACATATTCTTTTTAATTTTATAATTTTTAATTTTTATAATTATTTCGACTTCTACTAATTATTCATACAATAATCACCTCTCTAATTTTTAAAAAAAAAAATAGGGATACAAAGTATTCCTTTTTTTTTTAATCGTAAAATGTATAACACAAATATAGACACACACAATTTAAATAGACTTCAAAACTTGGGCCTATATTTTAAATTTGTAGCATAAAATAGTGAGGTGAGAGTTGGTAGTTGCTGCGTCTCTTAAATGACCGTTCAGTCTCCTTTACTGCGTACTGGTGCCCGATTTATTAACGAGGACCAAATAATTAAAGTATGTTTCTGAAATATTTTGATTTTGATACGTATACTTGTTGTTGTTTATAGTTTATAGAGTTTAGAAATTAAAAAAAGAAATAAGAAGGGAGTTATTTATTTATTAATATAATTATGGAGTGTAAAAATAGAATGATTAATTAAGATATATAGAAGAGAAGGAAGAAGAGTTACGCTTTGGTAGCAGCATAGATTGTAAAGAGAGGATGCGAAGGCACAACCACCGCAGCAGCCGATCCAATGTTAACGATGGCACCTCTTCTCCGTTCTAGCATTCCCTTCAGAACCACCTTCGTCACACTCGTCGTTCCTTCCATGTTCACTCTCACTATCTTCCTCCAAACCTTCTCCTCCACTTCATGAAACCACATCGCTCTCGGGTACGTCATTCCCACGTTGTTGATCACAACCCCAACCTCCAACCCCTCGCACGCCTCCTCCACTCGCCGGAGACCCTCCCGCACGTCGTCGCCGCCGAAGTCCATCTCTACCACCTTCACGCGCCTCTCGGGGTTTTCCGCTTTGATTTCGCATGCTACCGTTTGGAGCTTCTGGATGGTTCTGCTGACGAGAATGAGGTTGAGGCCCCGCCGCGCGAGCTGGTGGGCGAAGGCTTTTCCGATGCCGTCGGTGGCGCCGGTGACCAGAGCCCAGGAGCCGTAGGCTCGGGCGAGGTCCTTCTGGGATCGGAAAGAGGTGTGGAAGATCCATGTGGCGAGGGAGATGAGAAGGTTGAGCGTGACGATGAAACCGATGAATGAGATGATGAGTTCTGCAAGTTCCACGTTGCATGCCATTGCCGTCTCTCTTTAGAGTTTAGCCACTCACTTCCGTTAAATATTTCTCCTACATCGGATTCACGTGCATCACCAACTCTATAAATTACTACTAATTCATTTACTCCTATCAATTTTAACATACTTTAATGATAATCAGAAACAAAAACAAAAGTCACATCACATGCATGGGAGTTGGGAATGAATTAATGCATAAGAATTAATTCCTACGCACAACAAAGTGACAAACCATGTTTTATCCTTCCCATACCTAATTAATTTCTGTTAACAGAGTATACCCTTCGCATCACGGAATCAAGCTAAGGACCTGCTTGTGACCTGCTGCAATAAATTCATCAAACTGAGCTACTTGTAAACACCTTTCCATTTTCATGGAAGAAGAAGGAACATAAAGAGAATAACAAATCAAATAATTATTTAAGTTGTTTAGTAAAAGTGAGACTGTAAAAAAGAAAGTTCAAACTTAAATTCTTTTTTTCTTCCCACACAAATATCTCTCAACCCAGTATGTCAAAGACTAATTTTATTCATGATATTTTAACTATTCTTATTATTGGTGATCCAAAATCCTGAGTAAGTAGGGGAAATTTTTTTTTTAAAAAATAAAAATTAATAATATTCATCCTCATATAGAAGAAGAGTTAAACATGGACAAACATTCAAAACATTAATCACTTAGATCAATATATAAAATTAGAAGTGCAAAATACAAAATTTTTAGTCATATACTTCTAATTTAATTAAGAGTTAATCATTTATACACTACTAGTGTAAAGTTTTTTACACTTGCAACCAATGATATCTTTTAAAATTACTTATTTTATTATTATTTCATTAAATAAACAACTGACATGACACTATTAGAATATATGATTAATTGTCAATGTAAAAAAAACTTTATACTAACAATGCATAGGTAATTAACTCTTTAATTAAAGTGAGAGATGCATTTTTTATTCTCAAATGAATGTAATTTCTCTCCCAATAAATTTTTGAAGATGATATGTCAAATATATGCTTTCATTTTTTTTAGATAGAAAAAATCGTATATAAAATAATATAAATATTTATAATAAAAATAAATATATATAAAAATAAGTGTAATTTATTAAAAGTAAAATTGGCAAAAAGTAACAACCACAGTTGTATCAATTAATGATTCAACTTATTCGTTTTGCAAGAACAGAGCAATACTAAGAGGAGTCATATTATTAAGAGTCGTAAAACATAAACCATCTGCCCACGACAGCTGCTCGAGTTACAAGTTTCCAACAACCACCAATGGTCGCTATTCAAGCCCCACCGCGACGCCTCAGATGCTTGCTGAGCCGGAGAAATTAAATGGTCCAGGACCACCATCTATTCATAACCTTAACCAATACTAGATGACATGTTTTTTTAATTTCTTTACCTCACGCAAAAAAATTAATTATATTTCATTACATGCTCTTTATTTATTTGTACTATATTGTTTTCTCTTTTAGACCTCTGGATTGCACTGGGGTCTTTCATCAGTCTAGATTTATTTAATCTTTTAAATATCACAAGTTTTAGTTTTAGTCATTAAAAAAAACATTGTTACTTTTAAAATTTAATAATCATAATATTTTTTTTCTGAAATGATCCTTAAGGATCTGGATTTGTAAGGATTAAGGATGTCACAAAATCATTGATGAAAACTTAAGAAATTATAAGTAATTAAATAAAGGAAAACCAAAAACCCACAATTATACTCTCAGCAGTCACCAACACCATTTATTTCCTACATTTATAGTGAAACAGATGATGATGTGTTATAAAGAAGGAAAAATTATTGGATACTTTACGATCACCACGTGTTCATACTCTCAACCAATTATTAATTTATTATACGATATGTATTAAGTTTTTTAATTTATAAAAAAAAATTATATACACTTGATTACATATTATATAAAGATTGATTATGAATCACATGCTTTAGAAACACCTAATAATTTCTTGTAAAAAAGTGGTTGAAGTTAGATTTGCAGTGCTTTTCATTTCAACTTCACTTCTTTTTAATAATTTCCCATCATAATAATGAAATGTATACGTAATTTAGTTTTGCTGCTACTTTTAAAATTTTGAAATGTATTAAATACCTTTTGTAATATGTTTATGTAATATTTGTTCTTCTAAAATTTTAATAACTTTATGGTTGTTAGTTTCAGAATAACTGTATTCAAGCATATGAACGAGGATGATCATAAAAGTTATTTCTTATTAACATCCTATATTTTTAATTATGAGTGTTGACCATTTATGCAAAACATTTTCAATTTTTTCTATGTGGAATTTGTCTTTATTGACATGGAGAAGTTGATAAAGTACCTTCAGAAGATTTTCCTAACTACTATTTTAATCTTTCTTCTTAAATTTAACTCACTTAATGTTTTTAATAAATTAATCATTTATTTTTTCTAGTGTTGTATGTGACAGGATCACCTTTATCTTAGTTGACCAACAAGTTTACAATTTTATGTTGATATAAATTAGTACATCATTCTTCAAAATACGTCTTTCATTTTATAAAAGACAAATTCTTGTTGATTTTGTTCAAATAAAACATGTTTAAGATACTATTTTGTTGTGTGGTGTACCACCAGTGAAAAAAATAGTATACAATAATAAAATATTATATTGGATATTCAACAAGTGATATAATATATGATGCAATAATACTTTTAAAAATAATGTCATCTATATTATATCGATTGTTGTTCAACCAATGTAGTATATCAATTTCTTCATCAATATAATATATTGAATTAAATTACTATAATGAGACCTTCTTCCTCATGTTCCCATTTTCCCCTAACCTTACACTCTCATTTTGAATTTGATTGTGTTTTTTTTTTTTTTTCCTAAGAGAAAGAGTAGGATGGAGGTAGGTTGAGGGGGACAAGGATCGCATGAGGAGAAGGAAGTGTAGAGTTGAAGAAGTGGTCCACATCAAAGATGAAGAAATACATGGAAGGGAAGTGTAGACGATTTCAAATATGGACGAGTACACGCACTTGCACTAGGGTTGGGAAGTGAGGAGGAAAGGGAATGTGATTGACATGGAGAAAGGGAACTATTTGGGAGAGAAACCAATGATTATACATATACATATATATATACATATATATAAATAAGAGGAGAGATTTGTTTACTTTAAGAGTAAGTCTATATAAATTTACTTTATTTAATAACATATGGTATACATCAAATTTTAATAATTCAACCATTAAATTTAAAATTCTCAATGCATATGTATTGTATTTTTTTAATTAAATATTGTAGTATTGCAAATTCATATTTTTTTGTGAAACCTATAAAATCTTTTAAAATCTTATAATATAAATCCATCAAAATCTATTTAAATTTGGTTTACAAATTCTTAATTGAAATTCAAGTTTTAAAATTCCTTTAAAAAAATTCTAAAAGTCATGATATTTTTACAAAGTCTTTTAAAATTATAAAAAAATTTCATGTTAAAATTGTCTTTCAAAATTCCAATCTAATATACCTCACTAAGTCTTTCAAATGAAAATAATATTTTACTCATAATAATGCCTTCTCATATATCACGAGACTTAATGCCATTAAAAAGTGTTACTTGTTTGTCATTAAAGAACATCATTTTGTGCCAATTATGCATTGACTCAATGAAAACTTAAACTTATTTTTTATTTATTTATTTAGTAACTTATAACAACTTAAGTACTTCTTAGGGTTCAATCATTGAAAAACATAGATCAATTTTCTTCTAAAAGTGATAAAGATGAAGATTTAAGTTCAATGAGCAAATAAAAGTGTACGCTTAGATCACATAGTAAGTTGACAAAGTTACCACATATAAAATGAAAGTCTATCTAGTAATGTCAAGAGGTGTCCTTATTATAAGAGTTGAATATAGGTGAGACAAACTTAAATATGAGAATATACTTATTAGGTAAATCTAACTTAACATGACCTTTTAGAGTATTGAATATACCTCTTAGCATGATAGTATGAACTAAGCAACTTGGATATCCTTAATTGTACACTAGGTGACTTAAGTGTAGCTTGGATTTTGTTAGAGTCTCACGATGTTTACACCTCCCTACATTAATAATACATTTTTAATATACTTTTTTTTCTCCAAAATATCTTTAATATTTATTTTTTAATTTCTCAACTTTACAAACTCTTGCCTTTAAAATTTTATATTTTTCAAACACTCATGACTCACCACTCTTTCACATGCATCCTCTAACCTTTGATGTTCAATTTTTTATTTCAAGTGTCCACCCATTTCACATGCACCCTTTCCTACTAATGTTTATTATTTTTTTTCAAGCACTCTTCTCTTTCACGCACACTACCTTCCTCCATTTTTCAAGATTTCAAAAAAGGCTAAAATTTTATAATTATAATTTTCTTTCAAAAATATAAAATTTTAAGATTCTCGCACACCCTTCTTTTTATGCTCATCTAATTTTCGCGACATTAATTTTAGTGTTTTGCAAAAAAAAAAAAAAAATTCCAAAATATTATGTTTATAATTTTGAAAAGTACAAATACTTTTTAGATTTGTATTTTTTTTACATACTTATAATTCCAAAGCACTAAAGAAGAAAGAAGATGAAGAGAGGATGTGTATATATCATTAGCCATTTATTTACTTAAAAAATTAATCTATAAAATTGAATGCTTGAAATCTTAAAATAATGGAGGAAAAGAGTGAGCGTTTGGAAAAAGAAATTAATATTTAAGATAAGAGTACAAAAAGACATGTATGAAAAAGAGTGAGAACTTAAAAAAGGTTCAGGCAAAGGAAAGGAAGGGTTCATAAAGTCAAGAATTTAGAAAAGAAAATATTAAGAATAAATTAAAAAAATATATAATAGATACGTATTATTAATATAGGAAGATTATATATCATAAACCTTGTTAGATTTAACTTAATTGCGTAGAACAGAACATATTTCGTTTGATTGAATGTATTCTGTCACAAATACTTCCGATTTATGTGAGAGTTTATCTGAGAAGATTGGATACCAAATTATATGCCCAAAAAGAAACGCAAAACCAAATAATGCGTGACAAATTGACTGGTGCTGATTTTCTACTTCCCTACATGATCAACTTAGACTTGATTCCGCCGAATTCCATATGTCTGATTAACAGATTAACCATATATCCCCTTTCCCATTTGTCTAGTTCTTTTGTGTTAATTTTAACTGACACCGAAATTCTAAACTCCTCATCATTATGTGAAAATGAAACAAATAAGAAATAAGCAAAGACATTTCACTTTCACCTCTAAATAGTAATTAGTTGCCCATGTTTTGCCGCATTTAACAACATTGCTCTGTATCAGGTCATTCAATAATAGTATAGTATAATTATATATTAAAAAATGTATTCCATACATATAATCATCAGTTCCAACCAAACTTTGTCAGCAATATTCTGCTGCTGGTGTACAGAATCACATGTCTTCATTCAACAACAACCCCATTCATAATCATCATATTTAAAAAAATATAGAAAAAAAAACTCTAGAAAGATGGCATAAGCTGAAAAACCGATAGACAAAAGTTGAGTAGTTGATAGTCATCAACATAATGAAAGTTACAAGAACAAACATATCTGCTTTCTGTAATTGCAAAAGGTAGTTACTGATTCTCCTATGTACATATTAGTATATTACTTTTTGCCACAAGTAGGTAGATCCATGAAATGTATCAGGTGGCAAAGGGAAAACACGTGAACAACTAGAAGCTACAAAGATGTATCAGGTTGTAACTATTTTTTTGAATCTCTAATCCGTTGTCTGAAGACATGTGGCCTCAGAAGAAAACTGAAGAGAATCATGACATACGTCCCAAGCAGCGAGAAAACACGCATCCTTATCCTTGTCTAGGGTCCAAAGCAAAACCACTTTTTCTGCACCGAAATTATATGCGTAGTATTAGCTATTCAACTTCATTATACAAAATCATTCCCATAATTTCTGTGAAATGGGCGAGTCTACTTTTTCTGTTTTCAACTTTCAAATAACTAATAAAACACAAAAACATGTATTGGTGCAAAATTTATAGTATTGTTTCTCATACTAAATAGTATAACATAACTATATATTATTGATATGTACCTTGACGGATTTATCATCTTCCTTGCGCGAATTATTTCTTCTCTGTGATGTAATGCGCACTGATCCTCCTCCTCCGCCAGTTTTTTTCTCATCTCTGGCCTTGTTGAATATAACAGTGAAACCTTCAGCTGAGGCAGGATCATTCACGTCCCATTCCCCGAACTTGGGTAGTGGCCTTCCTTCTTGTTCATACTGCACATGCAAACATAAAATCTATACATCAACAAAGATTAATTATTCACAGAAAATGAAAAATAAAAAACACACTTTTGCTCTTCATTAACGACAAAGATTTGGCTAACCCTGATCTCATCAGTTTAGTATTTGATAAAAACAATGAAAATAAAATATTGTTTTGCTAGAAATCAATAGTAAGCATTATTACATGACATGGTACGAGGATCTTACCGAAGCCATGAAGATTGAAGGTTTGTGATATTTGGCGGTTACCCAAATTTCCGGGGAAAAGGAACACACAACAAAGAGAAGAGAAAGAAAAAATAAAAAGAATAGAAGAGATTGAAGAGAATTTAATGGTTAAAAAATGGGTTGATAAAAGCAGCATTTTATAAAGGGTTGAAGAATAGAAAGAGGAGCGAAACCCAAGCTCGTTGTCCAAAACGCGGGTGATTTTCGTTTTCTTTTTATTTTTAGGAGAATATTCCTTTAAAGGGTAACAGAAACCAAGGTTGAGTTCCAAGCCAGCCAATGAGGCCATATTCCAAAAATGGGAGACCAACAAATACAAATTGGTAACAAGAAAGTTCCTATTACAAATTACAGTTATCTATTTACGGCAAATAAATTACAAAAAAATGGATTTTCAGAGGATTACAACAGAAATCTATTTATAATGTTTAATATACAAACATCAATTTTTCCTTAAACAACGGAGGAGAGAGCAGAGCTGCTATTAGTTGCTGCATTTGCAAACAAACACAAACTTGTTGGATTATTTTCCTATGATTTCTATGTCACATATACATCAAACCAGGGGCACATACGTTAGATGTTTAGAGATGTGGTGTGTTATCCATGAAGATGGCAATCACTCGTTTAATTTCTTGTTTGGTGTATTTGTGTAACGCCATAAAAGTCCTCCAATTAGGTTGTTCACTGCATGAGAAGCCATGGGAACCGCAACACTAGAGGATAAAATTGTAGCATATCCATATGCAAGACCAACAAAGGTTGCCCTAAACACAAACAACAATCTTATTGTAATTTAATCAGAACTAACAGCACAATAATGGAAAAAAAAATGTGTGATTTACAGGACGCAGCAGGGACGGATATTCAAATATTATGAGTATTATATTTTAATATTCAAATAATTAGGATTGCTTATATTTGAGAGCTTAGTTGTGGAAATATTTAAGTTTAATTTTTTTTTTATATATTTTTTATAAACATTTTATATCGTTTTTTTTAGTCTTTGTTGTGATGATAATTTCATTCCTCCCGCTATTTAGACAAAAAATTTAAGTTTCATTTTTTTTAAGCTTTTTCACTTACAATATGTTGTTGCTATTGTGAAGACAAATGACTATTAGTTTTTCTTTTTCTTTATATTTATTTCATTATAATTATTTAGAAATTAAAAACTATTTATTATTAACTATGCAAATGAGACAAACTTACAAACGTTATAAGAGATTGACAACATAAACTTAGATAAACATATCAATCAATATTCTATCTGTCTATCACTATATTTTTATTTTTATTTTGCATATTCTCTTTGGTTTTTCCCCCCTTGTCTTTGTTAAAAACAAACTAAATATCGGGTTACATCAAAAGTTTATTAGAATTTGTTTTCATGGTAAATTTATTATAAATCTTAAATCTTGAAATACCAAATAAACCTGAGTAATATACCAAATACGTGAAATTAACAATTGACATTTTAAATCTTAAAAAAAATAGTTAATCTTGTATGAAAATTTGTTTTATTATAATTTTTTAATTATTTAAAAATACATAATTATAAATATTTCACATAAAATTTAATATTTATATACTTATTAAATAAGTTTTAATTTTTAAAATTGGCCCCATTCAAAGGAAAAAGGTGAAGTTAGAATGATATGCACCAGATGGCAAAGGAATACTTTCGACCATTGCCTAGGTGTAAAACACCGAATATCAAGGCGGCAACCCCAATACTAATCCAGTTCATTCCCAAAAGTGGAAGAATCGCTCCTCGGAAAAGTAGTTCCTGGAATTCAAGATAATACGTGATATCGGTCAAATGATGGAAAATAAACAAGAAAGATGAAATAAACCAAGAAGAGTATTTGACCTCACTAATACCAGGCAAAAATGCAACGACAATATAATCCAAAGGCTGAAGTGAGCTAAGGACCTGATTCAGAAAGCAAAGTATTTCTAGAGTTCAGCAAAGCATCCGTGTATTGATACAGAAACACGAAATGACAAAAGCAACAGGCTTGCGAAAAGTTATCTCAAGTAGGAATGATTTCTAGTCAGATGCACTACCTTTTACTCAATGTAAAATGATCTACCATAGAATATTCAAGTGTTAAATGGCAATCTACTAACAAGTAACAACAAACCAAGCTTACAAAATCTTAAAGGACATTTCCAGAGCTATGGCTTGATTCAGTTACCTGCTGATTGGCTGCTTCGCTAGACTCAGCAAAATCTGGCCATGTTTTCAATAGCAAATAGCGACATGATGATATTAATACGACAAGTCCTGTAATCAGCTCAAGATGCCACATTTCAAAACCATCTGCAGGCAAAATAAAAACATACCTTAACATACTCCACAGAACAAGTATTAAAAAAAATCCTGTTTAAGAGTATGATTAGATCAAATAGTAGTTAATGTCACATTTTTGTGTCAGTATTCATGAAAATATTACAATAAATAGAGCCGACATGCACATGTAGCCTTGCTCCAAATAAATTAAAGAAAGGAAAACGCAGGTAAGGCTTTACTTTCATGTCTTATTGTTAAAAAATTATAAATTTATCAACCCTTTAGTTCAATAATTTCCACCCAAGATACCGCTTGAAAACCCAACATACATTTAAGCATTTTACAAATGTAAGTAGTAGTCTACAGTAAAAGCAAATTTCTTCTATGAGAACGGCTATTTTAAGCAATTAAGAGTTCAAAAATAGTTCTTCATATCCAATATAATTTTATGACTCCTTTCCAATGAAAGAGAACCTATGCAAGTCTGAACCATACAATAATGAAAAGAACAAAGAAGTAAATAGGAGTGTAATACATGATACTTCGGAATAGCTGTCCAAGACTGGCAATCCTTCCACTGACGCAACATGAGACACCTGCAAGTTGCAAAAACAAAACGAAGTACAAAATGAATATAACATCCTGTGTTATGCAAATTTCTATGTCCAACAATCTTCAGACAATATGTGATAAACATGAGAACTCTCCTTTTTTAAAAGAAAATGAAAACTTCATCTGCAATTAAGAACTAGGTTCTAAGGAATAAAACTTTCAATTGGAATTTAACTTCTCCCAAGTAATGTGGTGTGAGGAAGTAAAGATCAGACTGAAATACTCTCCATGATGGTTAAATTAAACATATATAAGTTTCATATGAGATCCTATTTATATCAATATGATAGACAACAAAGTTGAGAACATGCAAGTCCAACATAAGGGGGAAACTGATCTGGCAATGCATAAAAAGGAAGAGCACCTGCCGAATCACTATGCCCAGAGCAGCTACGAGACCAGAAGTTATTAAGCAAGCTTGAAGCACAGCACTCCTGGAAGGTAAAGGGTTGGAATTCTGAGCAGTTGGATTAAGAGAAGCGTTCAACTCGTCATTTTGAACAATTTTATCATCCAAGAGATCTCCAGATGCTGCGGGTCCATCTCTTCTGGATTTCTTCAATGATTTCTTGGCAAAAGAGCACGTGCTATATCTACTCCCTATGGAGAAAATAAAATCTTATGAACCAACCATCCCAAAAGTTTAAGCTATTTGGTGAAAGCTCATGAATGTTTCATATTACATCTCCATGACATTCATACCCCCGGACACAACACCCCTATGGACTTGAAGCATGAATAATGATGCACCAGAAATGATGAAGATTACAAAAACGAATTTCATAGCAGAACATCATCGTATCATGGATCTACTTTTCTTTATCTTACCCATTTATCCAAACCCCTACCTCAATTGGTCAATGCTATCATCGTAATGGTTAGAATCCATTTTTCGCAAATTCATACAAAAAAATCATCCATACTAAATACCACTCCTGATTCACAAACCCACCTATCTTATGCTTAAATTCAAGTTTGTATGGGAAGAATGGGGCAAGGATGAATCAAACTATAGACTATTTGGTCATAAATTTTCTAACACCATGTCGAAAACTAACAATCTCAAAAAGTTAAACCATTTAGATGAAGAGACGTGAATGATTTCATATTACATCTCTAACAAAAACAAAATAGTCTACAAGTTGTCCGAAGCTGGCGGAACTTTCACAGATAAAAAATCCCACTGGGTTGTAAGAGGTGTTGTGCATAGCAAAGAAGAGTAAAATTTGTATTTGTATCTAGTACAGAAAAGTGAAATTCGATGCATGAGCAGCATCACGGTTAGTTCCTGGTATGTAATTGCAACTCAAAAGTATATTTGATGAATTGACCAAACTTTGAAACAAAAATTGATTGAGCATTCTCTTCATCCACTAATTTGGGTAAAAATGAAGAGAAATTGAATAAATGCAGAAAAAAATGAGAAAGTTTGAACTAACTGCGAGTGCGAGGGAGAGTGGTGTGGGGATGTTCCAGGGTACTCCAACAGTTGAGAGTGAGCGAAAGGGTAGCCATAAGCTTTTTCTCATTCCCTTCAAAATGCAAACCACCGGATAAATTACAATAGATAATATACTAATGGTTTGATTTAAAAAATTATTTGTTTATGATATAGATTGGTATTAAATTTTAAATACTCTTGATCTTTATAAAATAACTAAATTTTGATTTTGATTTATATAAAAGTTTTTCTTTAGTTTTCGACTCTTTATAATACAAAATCAACATTTGTTTTTATCTCTATCATCATCATATCATATGCCATTGGTTAACTGTTTCCATATTTACCAAAAGTTTGTGGGAATATTTCAAGTGATACCAATCCAACATGTATGTCATGTCATGTCAACAAACAGTTTTAAGAAAAACAGTTTTAAATTAAAATTATTTAATTATCCTAAAATAAATGTTATTTTTACAACAGACCTAAAATAAATGTAAGTCTAAAATGAATTGTTTTAAATTTTGAAGGATGAAAAAAAAGTTAAAAATTAAAATTTAATTATTTTATAAAAATTAAAAACAATAATTTTAAATTTTTAAAAATGAAAATTAAATTAAAAAAAATTATAAAGACCAAAACTAAAATTTGTTGTTGATTATATGAGTACTTTTAATTGAAAATAAAATATAAAATTATTTAAGATAAAAATCTTTAATTAACAGTGAACAAATTATAAAAACATTTTTTTTATAAAGATAAGAAATATTACAAAGATAATCGTAACGAGGATTGAACAGTTCATACTTCTAAAAACATTTAATAAACAGTGAATTAGTGTGTAAATAAATAGTTATTGTCTATGTATTTTGAAAAGGAGTTACCATGTTATTTAGTGCATAGCGGATAATATTTAATAAACTAATTTGAGTGTAGTAGTAAAAATACCAGTTCATGATTTATAGATATAATCGTGGGTATATTATAATTGAACCAATAATAATTAAATATATTTATAATGTAATGTATTAGAAATTTTTTTTAAAAATACTAAAATATATCATTAGTTGTACTTGAAAAATGCAAAGTATAAATACAACGTATTGCAGATTGACACCCAGATAAGCCCAAAACTCTCTAAATAGACACCAGCAAAAATAGACCCAAATAGGTTTCTGCCCGAACACAGACACAACCTTCAAAGCTAAGAAGCATATCTTAAATAGCTGAAGTTTCACAATTTCACACTATTCAATTTTTGAATTTAACATTTTATCACTCCAACTTTTAAAATTCCCACATTTTAATAGTTCATTAGTTATAGTAGTGTTCAAATCTAAACCAACTTAAACCAAAAACAACAAACATATGCAAAATCGAAAATTAGCAATTTGATTTTTAAATTTTCAAAACAACACAGTTTTGTTCGATTTTCGAATTGAAATATAAATTTAATTTAAATTAAATCAAATCACACTTATTTATAAATATATTTTTTCTAAATACATAATACATATATATAAAATTGACACATAATATAAAAAGTGTTGTAAAACAATAAGATGATAAAAAAAAAGTATTTTTCTCTCCAAATATACATTATAATATTTAAAAGCTATTTTATAAATTATAAGTTACAAAACTGAATTTTAGAAAAAAAAATTATAAATTATTTATGATATTCAAAAATACCTTTTTTTTTAAATGACAAACTATATATGAGAGAAAAAAATTAATTTGATAACTAAAATTATATTAAAAAATACTTTTACTATAATAATAAAATAAAAATTGATGTTAAATATATTAAGTGACTAAAATATTTTAATATTTGTGTAATTTGAATTTCATTTTTAACTTACAGCATTAAATAAATAACATAATATTACATGTTTTTAGTTGAATTTTAAATAATAAATTTTAAAGATAACAAATCGAACCAAACTAAATTGCAAAATATTAATTTGACTTTGGTTAAAATTTCATAATTCACTCAAATTGAATTATGCTTAATTTTCTTGTTTAGTTCAATTGATTGTTAAGAAAAAAAACCAAAACCAAATGCAATAAACACTCCTAATTACCCGATTGTATTAACTATTAATTGATTGTTGATACAACAATTTTGATTGTTAACATAATATATGGAATACTAACATAGATCGTTAGCGTGTGTGCAAAATGACGACGACATGTCATGTTAATTGTTAATGCGTCAAGCCAATCATCAACTAACGGTATAATATGATCAACAAATAAAGTGATAAAAAATGCTAAGTTTTAAAAGTTTAATGAGAAAATATACAAATTCAAAAGCTGTAAAATTAACGAAATCCAATAATTTAGGTGACATAACGTGCGATTAACTATAAGGTAATAAGAGAAGCGGATAACATCACTCGAAGAATACACCATTTTCCCATTTTTCTCTGCCTCAAAATAAACTTTTGCTGAGTTGAGCTTCCTAGAAATGACCATCATCTTTAATCGGATTCTAAAAACACAACGAAAGATTACTATTAATAGAGCTGGCACCGGGTGGTTTCGAGCGCAATTTGCCCCACCCATGATAAACTGAAACATGAAAATTTCAACCGATTCCAAAAAATTACTCTCGGTTTTGTCGGGTTGTGGTGGGTTTGGCTGTTATTTGGGTGGGTTGCAGGGGTAAGATTCCTTCTATTGCCTCCTTTGTTGTCTTCTTCTCCAGAAGTGCAACAGTTGCAGATGGAGACGCCATTGCTGAGTTTGGTGCTAGAGACTTTCTACAACTTCGGAGAGCGACAAGAGTAAGCAGAGGAGGGTCTGGAATCTGGATTCTTCCAACCCAGCATCATCAGTGAAACCCACTTGCAGAAAGGGTTTTGAGGAAAACACAAAAAAAAAGTGGGAAATATGATACTGCAAGCAACCAATTAGTGTTGTGTGGCAGGAGGACTAACGCTTAGTGAAGTGGGAGGTCGGTGGTGATTTTGGAGAGCAAAATGTAGGGAGGGAGAGCAAAGAAGGCATTGGATGATTCAGAAGAGTGAAAGGTTTTATGAATCTGAAGGGTAACGGTGAATAAAGAGAGAGGGAAAAATAAATAAATAAAAACAAACAAACACATTTATGCACAGCCAAACTCAACATTGCTACTCTAGTGATGCACTTTAATGATGTAACAGTAAACAAGGTAAAAAAACCATTCAAAACATAAAGTCCATGCCTTCTTTGAGCACAGGATTGATTAATAGCAAACCTCCGGCACTGTGTCATCTAGCCATGCAAGCCTACCACCATGCGGAAGGAGGTAGGCATTTAATTCTTAAGAACAAGCTAGACACAAGAAGCAAACGTGTCCAGAAGCATACAAGAGTCCGCAGCATTGAAGCAAAACCACTCATGATATAGAAGGTGTGTATATTTGAAAATTATTACTTGTCTGAAAGAGTTATGTCAACTTAAAACATTACTTATTTACTTATCTCTTTTTATGCGGTTGACTTCAGATCAAGTTGCTTTAAAACAAAGTAGACCTGAAGAATAGAAGAAGAAAGTATGTCATTTATAAAAGTAGCAGTTGACAAATCCTAAGGTGCAAATACACAACAAAACATGATGGGATGCACAATTAAATAAAAAACCTACCTTTGCGCTTTGCCTAGTCCTTCTCCCTCCGAAAGGTTTACATGAACTCAATGTTGAAAACCAAAGCATCCATCATCAATTCTGAACACTCCAATAAATAATAAGATTAATCTGTCTGGCAGAAAATTTCGAATTTCATATTCACTGCTCAAACACACATGGACACAGATAAATACACATGGCTGCCATTCATCCACAGTCACTTCCACCTTGTTTGGTAGCTGCCATGTGTAAAAATTTAAATTGGGTTTACCATAATGAATATTGGGCAGTTAACATTGAGCAAGGCAGGTATCAATTTTTTAGTTTCATTAAGTTATAGCTTCCTTCTGCTAATTATTGAATTGAATCAACCCATTTGAAATTTGGCTATGATAATATGCTTTTTCATTTAGTTAATCACAAAGCGAATCAGATCCATAATCCAGAAGGTGATATTATGCATTTTAGCATGCTGGCTACATCTACTAGTTCTTAATCATCTTGTAGTAAAACATATAACACATACAAATAATATACATGGATATTAACAAAATAGATCCAGATCTAGACCCAGTTCAGAAAATAAGAATCAAAAATGAGAAAACCATGATTGGGGGAGATTGGAGAATAGTGAGAAAGAAATTTTACATGGCCCAAAAAGTAGAGAACAATCACAGAAGATATGAGGGAGACGAGCCAAAAAAGACAGCAAGAGAGAGAGAGTGCCGAGGAGCATGTGATGCTGAGAATTTAGATCAAGGGAAAGAACATGCGAGGGTGAATGAATCACAAACAAGAGTGAGGGTAGTGATGGTCAGAGAGAACCCAAAATCTCCCACTTTTGGTGTCATTTGAAATTCTCTCATTTTACTTTTAGAAAAATTCCTTATAAATCCCCAATATTTTAAAATTTCTTTGAATTTGATACCAACAGTTTATTTTAATACTAGGTATTTTAAATCCCTTCGAAAATTGAGTTTCACTCCCAAAACTCTCTATTCAGGCACACTATAAGCAAAACCAAGGATGAAACATGCAATAACATAGAATCTAAAACAATAGAACATTATTAACAAGAAAAAAATGATATTGTATTAACTTTATGCATCTCATAATTTACAACAATGCCTTTGGTCGAATAGCATTCCACGTCTCAAATCATCTAAGATACTGTCAAAGTAACCATACAGAACCTACATAGATCCACTAAAAGCTTTCAGCTTGTAAAGTTTGGCTTCTTTTTATGGAAGAAGTAAAGAAAATAAGAGTAACAGTTAGAGTGAGGAAACTATATAACCTATTCTGTTGAAGATTTATCACTACAGGAAAGCTGCTCTGTAGAAACTAGAAAGCAACAAATGTCAAAATAAGAGATTGATAAGTGTCTCCCTATTCACCTCTGACAATGCCTCATCACTAATAAAGAAGCCTGCCAGCTCACAGATTAAACGTGGAATTTGCAAAATTGTGGTAACTGTCTATCGGAATGGAGAATGCAATTTTATCTATTCAGAGGTTCTAACTGCACTTCCATTGTCGCAGAGGGTTCTAAATCTTTATCTGCAGCTGTTCTGGTTGGGCTCAAGAGATCAACTGAATCATCTTCCTCAAGATTACCAAGCACCCAATTGCTTCTTCCAAGTATTTGCCTCCTTATTCGCTTCCTTTCATGGTACTCTAAATAAATAACAATCAATGCACCAACTAAGAACCAAATTGCCATAGCCCAACTGAGTCCATGGACATTTTCCACATCATATCTGCGTCCTAGATGCTTCATCCCAGTAAAAAGTGCAGCAATGCCAACGACAACGGCACATCTACCAACAATTGAATGGAAATATTCCCAAATAACCCTCTTGAAGGGTACCTGCTCCCCATTCGCTGGTTTTGGCGGCCTTAGAAAGGCATTTACTGGCTGTATGCAAGCCAAAAATATAGCAGCAAATCCAAACATAACATGTGTTGAGCTGAAAAAAAATCCCTTAAGCTCAGCTACAGCAAAAAGAAGGGCAAGTAGAATAATTACTAACCCTGAGTATTGCAAGTAAACATGAATCCGGTACCATCCATCACCCTTAAGATGTTTTAAGTATCTGGCTGCCAATACCCCTCCAGGAAGCAGTATACCCCATGCAACAAACATCATAAATCCATGCACAACCAAAACCGGAAGTAAATCCTGCTCTGCTTCCGATGACCCAACCTTCAGGTGTACAAGGATAGGCCTATTACTTGTACTAGAATGCATATTCCTGTCAGTAAGATGATCATTAGACCATTTAGCACCAATTGCCCAAACAACTTTCAGTGGAGTTGTGGGATCAATAATATTTTTACACTCTACCCTCTTTTCCCGCATACAGGATGGATCCAAGGGCCGTGTAAACTCCAAAGTAATGATGCCATTTTCTGTTTTACATCTGACATGTGTCAAATTCTCCCTTGTATCATGAATACTTACAGCATCTTTTCCATCAATCCAGTAAGTGTTTACATGTCCTATACCACTATCATCAATCCAACCCACATACACATAGCTGTTTATCATCCCACTTCCAAATCCTATGGCAAGATAACCACTTTTTTTCTCGCCACGGGCTGCAATAGATATGGAATCCTTTGACAATGTCCAGAAGAAGGTAACCTGTTGATCATCCAAAACGACACTGTTATTATACATGTCTGATAGACCTCCATCAACCACCTCAACTCTCCAACCCATTTTCTGCTCGTACAACGAATGATAGTAGATGTGATCAGGAGTGTTCCTGTCAGGAACCCAAACTAATTCAGTAGGACTGGCTTGAACGCCGTGGGCATCAGGACCTCCAGCATAAATAGTCTCAGTGAGATTCCTCATCGTAGCATTTCCACCAAGCGGATCTGATGTAATGTAAAGTGCAACCCCGTGCCCCGCTTGAATGGAAAACTTGACCGGCACCCCTCTTTCCACTCTCAAGACTGGAGCTTCCTTTTTGTTGATGAAAAGAACCTTAGCGGGATTTGGAGGGTTGGGGTAATGCATTGCCGGAGCAGATGATACCACCACAGGAACATTTTTATCTGCAGTGATAATACCTTGATCTTCTTTTTCTTCAGCATCCATGGGACCTGCACATTCATTCACATGCTCTGAGATATTCAAAAGCAAATGACCATAATTGACAGCCCCATGATTCTGAGGAAGATAGTAAGGATTAATAGAATCAGGAGGCTTAATAGGCCCCAGAGCCCAAATAACCTTCATATTCGCTGAATGGTCGACAGGGTGATCATGAATTCCATTGACCTTACTCAAATGCCAACGGTACCTAACAAACGACACCCCATCTCTCCTGTGGCCATAAACCAACATTGAATTGTTGACTAAACCCACCCCATCGGAGCCTTCATAAACGGAATCAGGACAAACCCCTTGAACTACTCCATCACTATTTCTCTCGCAAACACTATATTTAGTAATGAAAAAATTATCCACAAAGGGAAAACCATCTTCCTTAAACCCTGCAACGGCAACATCAGCACCAATCATGAGCCCTGAATCATCAGAACTGGAGTTAGCCCACCCAAAAGCCATGTAATTGGTGATCCCAGTGGCAGCCTCCAACCCAATCTCAAGAGAATCCTCGGACACATTCAAACTCCACCTCAACCTGAAGTTCTTCGACAAAACCTTGCAATTATCGAACACCGTGGGAAGCTCCTTCGGCGGAGCGTCCCGGCGGAGGAGGACGTGGCCGAAATCGGAGGCGGTGGAGCGATCCCAGACGGCGAGGACGTTGATCATGCTCCAGGAAACGTTGGTCAACAAATGCACATCGAAGGTGGAATTGTTGTAGGTCCCGTTCAACGCGTGGTTTGAAACGATGAATCCGGCGGTGAGGTTATCGAAATCGGGAGCCATGGCGCCCCACCAGTGGACGTCGGAGCCGGGAAGCATGTCGAATCGGGAAACCCTAAAGGTGCAATCGTCGATGATTTGGAGAGATCCTCGAACCTGGTGTTGAAACATTTGGAATTCGGATTCCAAATTGACGAGGGAAGTGAGGCGAGTGCAGTTGGGAGCGGAATCAGCATAGGCGAAGGACAGCAAGAGGGTGAGGAAGGGTAGGAAGAGGAATCTGCGAAGCATGACGGGTGCAATTTTTGTGAATCGGGATCCACGGTGACGATGAAGGCTTCAGGATGGGGATGGTAACAGTAACAGTAAAAATGTTGTGTGATGGAGGAGTTCAGGTTCAGGTTCAGGTTCAGGTTCAGGTTCAGGTAGGTCTCAAGTTTGTGCTATTGTTTGTCCCTGTGAAGAAATTAAGTCAACGGTGTTGCATTGTGTTTGTGTCACTATCACTTCATGGATCCTTGACTATAACCTCACTAGCCCAAATTATGAGTCTAATAAAATTCTCTTTTTTTTTTGGTGCATTCTTTTATTTATTTTTTTCTACATTCTTTTACTTATCTTTTAGTCTAATTCAGCTGTCCTTGTTAGGGATCTAATTGAATTCATAATTCTATTCATAATCTATAATATGTTTATTTCTACCGATATTCTATAAATTTATTTAAAAAACATTTAAAGAAGAAAAATAAAAATATTTTTTGATAAATTAATTTACTGAATTCTTTTATTCATTTTTTCAAATTTTTTATTTTAATTTATTCATAAGTTAATTTTAACTTATGAAAAAATTTATTTAATGTTTATTTGTTTTTTTGTAAAATTATTTCTTAAAAAAATTGTCCAAATAAACTCTTAATTAATTATATATTGGAAAGGAATTATGTGAAAAGTTTTCGGCTATCTCAATCATTATGATGATCAAAAAGCATCACCTAAAAAACTTTCATCAATTATACATTTTGTCATTTTCAACATTTGAGATAATCAAGATATATTTATTCTTCAGTAGGTCACATGTTTACCTCGTAATTTATGTATAGTTAAATGCTTACTTGACCTAATTAAGGGAGCCTTAACACTCTCAATTGTCGAGATAACTAAGATAGTTATTTATGTCTACTGAATATTTACTTTTGATCTGGTCAAGGTGGTCTTGACACCGTCGATTGCCAAGATAACTAACTTGAGTGCATGATTGACCTAATTGTGATGAACTCGACAACTTTAATGACCAAATTGAATTATCTAGTTGTGGATGGCATGACTAGGGAGGAGATTAAACAAGATTAGGAGGTTAATATAATTAACAAATGTATTACCTAATTGGTAATCAGGAACCAAAGTTCATTAGATGTAAGTTCGTTATGATTAGTATAAATAATTACATAAACAAAGGTAAAACTATTGTTTATTTATTACTTTCTTAGGTGCTTGTAATGAACCTTAACTTGAGTATTAAAAATATTTTTTGCAGATACTTCATCCTTAAAATTTGTCGACCAAAATAAAGTTCAAAGATCTCAAACATCTGAGACATAGTAATGTATCTTCAAACAAGTACATGTCAAATATTATCGTTGATTATGTGATTTTTTTTAGTTCATTAAAAATCTATCATTTAAAATAATTTATTAATTTATTTTTTTAATATCAACAAACTTTTTAAGTGAGAAAATAAGTCTTAACTAAATATCACTTAATTTTAATGTATTCTAAAAAAATAATATATTTTTAAGAGAATTTAATTATCTTAATTAATTATCACTAAACTATACTTTTAAGATATTTTCAAATCCTAATATTATACAAGATAGAAATAAAATACGTGTTGTTCTCTTTATGGCTAATGTTTTCTAGACAATAAAATACTACTACTAGATTGATGGTAAATATATTAAAAGCTAATGAAGCCTAAACTTTGGCTTAATCATTTTCGGATATACAAAAGGTCAACACCAATCAACATTTAATATCACATAACAAAGACCCAAAAATTGTCAACAATCTTTCATGGTGGCTTCTAAAGGTGAATTTTGATTGTTTCATGTCCAAATCACTTCTAAATGGTCTTAAAATGGGAAATCAACTTAAAACAAGACCAACGTGCTCTAGTGTCTTATCTAATTTAATATACTAATTATGTTTTGCTTTATTTAATTAGTTATCATCAAGGAAAGCTACAATTATTATTAAATTACTTAATGGCCGAATGAACCTAGGAATGATCTAAGGCATTTCTATATTAATTAGTACATGTCTATTTGTATCAAATTCAATACATTATTATTAATAAAAACACTTATATTCGTTATTTAAGGATTATGTACGCGTGATGTATTAATTAAAAATATCATTTTATTCTTATAATAAACTAACATAACCAGATAAAATTATACTAAATAAATAAACATGAGAGACAAGTAAAAAAATAATTATTATTAAAAATTCCTTGTCAACTAATTAAAAGTAACTGTTAGTATTTATTTAAAAAAAATATTATGGTAATAATCAATAAATTTACTATAATACGAGTATGTGTTCATAAACTTTGTATTGCATAGAATAGAAATTAGAAACTAGGAATGAAAGAAAAGCCGTACCTAAGGCTAAGGAGTAAGGACAAGTTAGGCAGATAGATCTAGGAGCTGAGAGTGATGCAACACCATTCTCATTTCTCACTCATGAAAACGTTAATTTCTTCTTCACTACCTGAATCCGATCTTGAATAGTTCCTCATCGTGCGTCATGCTTCCCAGATCCTTCTTCCTCTTCCTCATCCTCTTCCTCCGCTATGCCGATTCAGCTCCCAACTGCACTCGCCTCACTTCACTCGTCAATTTGGAATCCGAGTTCCAAATGGTTCAACACCAATTACGAGGATCTCTCCAAATCATCGACGATTGCACCTTTAGGGTTTCCCGATTCGACATGCTTCCCGGCACCGACGTCCACTGGTGGGGCGCCGTGGCTCCCGATTTCGATAACCTCACCGCCGGATTCATCGTTTCAAGCCACGCGTTGAACGGGACCTACAAAAATTCCACCTTCGATGTGCATTTGTTGACCAATGTTTCGTGGAACATGATCAACGTCCTCGCCGTCTGGGATCGCTCCACCGCCTCCGATTTCGGCCACGTCCTCCTCCGCGGGGACGCGCCGCCGAAGAAGCTTCCCACGGTGTTCGATAATTGCAAGGTTTTGTCGAAGAACTTCAGGTTGAGGTGGAGTTTGAATGTGTCCGAGGATTCCTTTGAGATTGGGTTGGAGGCTGCCACTGGGATCACCAATTACATGGCTTTTGGGTGGGCTAACTCCAGTTCTGATGATTCAGGGCTCATGATTGGTGCTGATGTTGCCGTTGCAGGGTTTAAGGAAGATGGTTTTCCCTTTGTGGATAATTTTTTCATTACTAAGTATAGTGTTTGCGAGAGAAATAGTGATGGAGTAGCTCAAGGGGTTTGTCCTGATTCCGTTTATGAAGGCTCCGATGGGGTGGGTTTAGTCAACGATTCAATGTTGGTTTATGGCCATAGGAAAGATGGCGTGTCGTTTGTTAGATACCGTTGGCATTTGAGTAAGGTCAATGGAATTTATGATCACCCTGTCAACCATTCAGCGAATATGAAGGTTATTTGGGCTATGGGGCCTATTAAGCCTCCTGATTCTATTAATCCTTACTATCTTCCTCAGAATCATGGGGATGTTAATTATGGTCATTTGGTTTTGAATATATCGGAGCATGTGAATGAATGTACAGGTCCCTTGGATGCTGAAGACAAAGAAGATCAAGGTATCATCACTGCAGACAAAAATGCTCCTCTGGTGGTATCCTCTGCTCTGGCAATGCATTACCCCAACCCTCCAAATCCTGCTAAGATTCTTTTCATCAACAAAAGGGAAGCTCCTGTCTTGAGAGTGGAAAGAGGGGTGCCGGTCAAGTTTTCCATTCAAGCGGGGCACGATGTTGCACTTTACATTACATCAGATCCGCTTGGTGGAAATGCTACGACGAGGAATCGCACTGAGACTATTTATGCTGGAGGTCCTGATGCCCACGGCGTTCAAGCCAGTCCTACTGAATTAGTTTGGACTCCTGGCAGGAACACTCCTGATCACATCTACTATCATTCGTTGTACGAGCCCAAAATGGGTTGGAAGGTTGAGGTGGTTGATGGAGGTCTATCAGACATGTATAATAACAGTGTCATTTTGGATGATCAACAGGTTACCTTCTTTTGGACATTGTCAAAGGATTCCATATCTATTGCAGCCCGTGGCGAGAAAAAAAGTGGTTATCTTGCCATAGGATTTGGAAGTGGGATGGTAAACAGCTATGCGTATGTGGGTTGGATTGATGATAATGGTATAGGACATGTGAACAGTTACTGGATTGATGGTAAAGAAGCTTTGAGCATACATCGTACACGGGAGAATTTGACACATGTCAGATGTAAAACAGAAAATGGCATCATTACTTTGGAGTTTACAAGGCCCTTGGACCCATCCTGTAAGCGGGAAAAGAGGGTAGAATGTAAAAATATTATTGATCCCACAACTCCACTAAAAGTTGTTTGGGCAATTGGTGCTAAATGGACTAATGACCATCTTACTGACAGGAATATGCATTCTAGTACAAGTAATAGGCCTATCCTTGTACACCTGAAGGTCGGGTCATCAGAAGCAGAGCAGGATTTACTTCCGGTTTTGGTTGTGCATGGGTTTATGATGTTTGTTGCATGGGGTATACTGCTTCCTGGAGGGGTATTGGCAGCCAGATACTTGAAACATCTTAAGGGTGATGGATGGTACCGGATTCATGTTTACTTGCAATACTCAGGGTTAGTAATTGTTCTACTTGCTCTCCTTTTTGCTGTGGCTGAGCTTAGGGGATTTGTTTTCAGCTCAACACATGTCAAATTTGGATTTGCTGCTATATTTTTTGCTTGTATACAGCCAGTAAATGCCTTTGTAAGGCCTCCAAAACCAGCGAATGGGGAGCAGGCACCCTTCAAGAGGGTTATTTGGGAGTATTTCCATTCAAATGTTGGTAGATGTGCCGTTGTTGTTGGCATTGCTGCACTTTTTACTGGGATGAAGCATCTAGGACACAGATATGATGTGGAAAATGTCCATGGACTCAGTTGGGCTATGGCAATTTGGTTCTTAGTTGGTGCATTTATTGTTATTTATTTAGAATACCATGAAAGGCAGAGAATAAGGAGGCAGATGCTTGGAAGAGGCAATTGGGTTCTTGGTAATACTGAGGAAGATGATTCAGTTGATCTCTTGAACCCAACCAGAACAACTGCAGATAAAGAGTTACAACCATATGCGAGAATGGAAGTCCAGCTAGAACCCTTGAACAGATAAAACAGCATTCTTTAAGTTCTGATAGAAAGTTGCCTTTCTGCCCCAATTTTTGCAATTTTGCATTTAATTTGTGAGGTGGCATTCTTCTTTATTAGTTATGAGGCGTTTTCTGAGGTGAAAAGGGAGGCAATTACTTATCAATGTCTTTTTTCAACATATGTTGCTTTCTAATTTCCAAGAGTAGTTTTCCTGCAGCATATATTTCCTAGTGATACATCTTCGAATGAATAGGTTATATTGATTCATCACTCTATAGAGGCTACACTATTTCTTTTACTACTTCATCCCAAAATAGATCAAACTTTACGAGGTGAAAGCTTTCTTCTTGATCAATGTAGGTTATGTATGTTTAGTTTGACAGTATCATAATAGATGATTTGAGACATGGAATGCTATCTGGCAAAAGGCATTGTTGTAAATTATGAGATGCAGAAAGTTAATACATCATTTTTTTGTCCATAATGTTACATGGTTTTAGATTCTTTGTAATTGCATGTCTCTTCATTTGTTCTCTTGATGTCTCCACAAACCTTCCTAGTAATATTAATTTTAACTATAAAAGGTAAATACAAATGTGCCAGTTGAAATTATTGCAATCCCAGCAGTTACTTGAAGCATCTTACATAAACTGGCGATCTTTACAATAAGCATCGTGTGAAGATTTAAGCATGGTATAGAATTTAATTATTTTAATGTGATGTGATGGAAATTTTGGAACTTGCCTTTTGCTGCGAATAATATTTTGTTTCAGTTAATCAGTTAAGCATAGTATTATTGAGAAAAGGCAAATTTTCTCACAGCTCATTAAAAGTGTTTGTTTTAGATTCCTAACCCGTCTTGAATATGCTTGAGCTGTGGGAGTGCGTTTGAAATTTAAGGAAGCCTCAAATTTTTTGCAATTGTTACACATTCCGCTCCTTATTTTTCTGTTTTAGTTGGCTATTGTAATTCCATTAAAATCTCAATAGATGTTGAGATTTATAGCAATTTTCAAATTGGTCGTAAGCCTATATTCCAGAGAACAAATCAAGAAGTTCCACTATATTTGTTAAAGCATTTAGATTAGAAAATAAAGCTAAAAACATGAAAACATCATTAAAAAAATAAATATACCTTTCTTCAATGTTCTAACTTTAATTTTGGATCAAGATTTCCAACCAAGGCCAAAGGGAGTGTGATTTCCTAAAACTCGAAGGACTTAAAAGTTAAAACATGAAAACATCATTAAAACAAATTAAATATACCTTTCTTCAGTGTTCTAACATTTAATTTTGGATCAAGATTTCCAACCAAGGTCAAAGGGAGTGTGATTTGCAACCAAGGCCAAAGGGAGTGTCGTTTCCCAGAAAACACATTACAAGTACTAGAAAAGTTTAGTAAGAGCTCACTTAGAGTCAAGGTTTGTACTATAGATCACATGGGAGCTCAATTAGAACCTGTAAAAGAAATGAAAATTAGAAAGAAGACAAGAGTTATTGAGTGCATCTACTTTTTATTTAATATTTTCTATGTTAAGTAAGTACGTGTTTGGATGCGCGTTGAATGAAGGTAACGCGCGTATTTTCTTCCAAAAATGCGATTCCTCCTTCTGAATGGATGTTTGGGTTTTTTTTCATCACATGATTTTAAGGGTGAAAATTAATTTTTGCTGAAGCTAAAAAAGATAGCTTTTGCGTCCAGGAAATTAATTTTGGTAAATCAATTCTTCAAACTCAAATCCAAACACGCACTAAAAAAGAGATTATAACAAAAATCAAAAGAATTTCTTACCTAAACAAAAGCAGATGGTATAGCTAAGAATTCATTCCAACTGCCTTTTTCCAATGAAAGACTATTCGCTCAATAGCAACAACTGGCTGCACTGCATTAACATTTTGAGTGCCAACAAGGAGAACAACAACATACAATGTGCCCGTGGCAATAAGCAATAAAAAGATGTTGTAATTATTTTACAACATGAACATGATTATTAACCAAAATGAACATATTCCTCTATCATTGATAAAAAATAAAAATAAAATAAAAAATAAAAATTGGTTAACACAAGTGATATTGATTTATGTTCCTTAATCAAAATGTCTGACATTTAAATTTTGGCATTGATTATAAAATAAATTATGTTAGGAGCAGAATATATTTTTGATAATTCCTTATGAAAATTAGTTATTGCTTTAAGTGGTGGATATTACAATCTAATATCATAGTTACTAAAAAAAATCATTAATAAAAAAAGAAAAAATACCATAAAAATATATTAATGACCTTTCAATAAAAGTTTTCATTTTAATATTTTAACCAGTGCCTTAGAGCCGTTGGTATTGTTTTTCATTAATTTTATACTTAAAGTTACTCAAAGTTTTTATTTCCAAAACAGGTAACATTTCCTGTTTTAGAAATATTGACAGGCAAATCTCCATGAAACGCGATTTGATTCTTGATTTGATAAAGGAAAGCGTGTGGTGCATATAAAATTTAATGGTCAAACAAACATTGCATGAAAAAGTTATATTGTAGCAGAGAAGAGACAAGGGTACATTATACCACTGCACTGACACTGGTACTCATACAAAACCACAGATGTTCTTTTAGCTGTGTGAGAAGTACGAATGTGTCACTAAACAAGCATGAAGAAGAAAGAAGAACAAGAAGGGGAAGCAGGTTGAGTTGAGGTTATGGATTCTTTTCACTCTAATTCATCCAAGAGCCTGGTAAGACATATGCCATCCACTCCCCCTCATTTTCAAATATCGTGGTTAACTAATGCATGAACCTTGCATGATTTATTCAACAAAAAATGAAAATGATTCAATGGAGGCAATTTTGTAGAAATAAAATGGTAAAAACATGAACTTGGAAGCAGAATCATAATCTCTATTTCTCATTTTCACCCATGTTAGAACCCATTGTCTTAAAAACATGAACTTGGAAGCAGAATCATAGTCTCAACTTCTCTCTCTCTGTTATTGTTTGATGTGTTTCTAAGTAACATTCAGAAATACTAAGGTACTGTGTAGCGGTGGAGGTTGATTTTTCTCCATCACTCATGGAAAGTAACTCTAATGTCATTCCCTTCATCTCCTTCACGATTATATTAAATTTGAGGATTAGATATGGTTTTTAACGTCCTTACAACTTTTTTTAATTTATATGCTTCATTCTCATACTATTATATTTGTTGACCAAGACAGTTTTTTTATTTATATATTTATTATTATACTTCTCTCCACCTTTTTCTTTCCAAATATTGTGGTTATGCAAAGAACCTTGTGTGGGTGCCATGACTTATATTGTACAAAGAATGAAAATGATTTAACGGAGGCCTTCTTGTAGAAGTAAAATGGTAATAACATGATTTAATGACCTTTTTTTCTCTTTCCTTTATTATTGGTTTATTTATGATTTGCTCATTGTTGTCATGTGTTCAATGTTCAGTCAGAGTCTTGGGACTGCACTCCTACTGAGAGAAAGCATTTGATTTCATATTCCACTGTTAATGCTCCTCGTCGTTCCTCTTTGAGATTGGCAAAGAAGCGTATAGAAACTGGAAGAGAATCTGTGCAGCAGGCGAACCAAGTTCTAGATTCTATTGTAATTTATTCCTGCCGTGCCTCTTCAAGATCGACAAAGAAGTTAACTGAAACTAGAACAAGTTCTGTGCAGGCTCATCAAGTTGTTCAACCTTCCACCTTTGCACAAACAATGACACATGAAGAGACCGAAAAGGTTGGAGATTTTGTTGCTCCAAATAACGGTTCAGTTGAAATGGAGATAGTGAGTGAGGGTGAGAATCCAATAGCTAGTGACTCAATTCAAATGGAAGGGCACGACAATGCATTTGAAGCAGAATGTATCCTTATTGAGGATGAAGCTTTGGCTGAGAATGTTCAAGTTCAAGCATCAAGTAACTCTAAGCCAAGGGAAAGA